CTTTAAGAAAAAAAATGGTCTGTATTGATTTCCTTTAAACAATATTATAATTTATGATATTATATTTTTACGAAAAAAAAAACTTATGTTTACTATTTTTATCAAGGTGGTTTTTAGGTATTTTTTTGGTGAACCGTGGACCATAAGTCCATAACTTTTGTTGGATAAACTTAATCCTACAACTTTTTATTGCTTTCCTTCTCTCTGTCATCTCTCATCTAAAATATAATTTCTTATAATTTTTAAAAATCTAAAAAATCATCATGCTAAGTAAACACATTTTTTGGAAAATTAAGTGTTTATAATTACTTCAAACAATATTTTCAAAAACACAAAAATTGACGTTTAAAAATAATGTTATTAGTAGGGTTTGGAAGTTATAAGAGCAAAAAAAGGCAAAATATGCATGAAAAAATGTGAAATATGCAAAAATATTTATTTATTTACCTAATAAAAGTGAGTTATTTATTTATTAATATACACGAAAAAATTCTAAAGACAAATTAAAAAAAAAAATTGTATTATTTAAAACTCTTATATAAGTTAAATATAAAAAAAAATAAATAAAAATATGGCGCGTTACCAGTTGGCGTTTGAGATTTTAGTGAACTGAATGAATAGTTAAACAAATATATTTTCATTATTTGTGAAATACGAAATAAATATATGTTGAATAATGCCTGTTAAGTTGTTTTTCGCTTTACCAGCGTTGTGTTATGTAACATTTGAAATAAATTGGTAAAGAATGAAAAAAAAAAAAAATTTTTGTTGAAAATATTAAAGATGCATATAAATATGCGAAAATCAATGAAAATCGGCGAAATATACACTTTTTCTCTAAAATTATCGAAATATGCTAAATATGCATTTTTAATTTTCAATTTTTAAACTCAACATTGTATAGCTCGGATTTCTAGCTTGGTCTGCTAATTGCTATAATTCGACAGCATACAGAACAATATGCAACTCCTATAACTTCCAAACCCTAGTTATTAGTTATACAACATTATAACAGTGCAGTTTTCWGCAGAATATTATTTTTGGATMATAATATTAACTGTTAAAAAAATTACCACTCGTAGTGCAATATATAATTTTCATTCCGTGAGTTATGTGTGTTTACAATGAATGTCGATATATATATATTGTTTCATATGGCATATGCGTAGATGCTGTTTACTGAGTTTATTATATCTATATTCACGCAACTGGAAAAAATTTGTTTTTATCTGCAGAGAACAAGTGCATAGTGAACTACATTTTTTTTTTTTTTTTTGTATTCACCCAAATGTATTGTAAACACGTGTTTTAGATGTAAAATGATAAATATAAATATTTGATATTATATTAGCAGCTCATAAAATTTCCTCTCGGAATGCAGAATTCATACTCAATAATTGTGTCACCTACCTATATTATAACGACAGTTGTATACTGTATAATAATTAATAATACATAGGTACACATATTATAATARTTAGTTTGATATTTRATTCGACGACAATATTATCATCACAACCACTTTCAGAAAACAATTCCGCATATTTATTCTTATCATAGTATCAATGTATGTTATATTTAAATTATATATTGTTCTTCATGTTTAACGATATATTATTTATAAAATTAATTATTCGCAGTTGTATAGATAGTTTTTATGGTACCTATACACCATAATCAGTGTATGTATGATGTATATTGAATTAATTAAGCTTTATCATTAGACGGTACGCTTTGTTGCACATAACCATAACAATGTGTGGTAATGTAAACTATTATGTGTTGAACTTTTACAATACGGTCAAGTTGCATATTTTTAGCCATAGTGATATGCAATGATTAATAATTTGTATAATGTGTACCCTTCGCAGTCGAACACACAAAATATAATATTATTTATTTGTATATTTATATGATAGTAAACGGATTAGACAYTCTTTTGGACATTTGTACAAATTATATAATTACAAAAATTACAATAACATAATATATGTAATAAACGTATTGTGAAATACGTAGGTTTTAAAGTGAAACAAAATGGGAATGTCTTAAAAATATTCGTCTATATTTATGATAGCGCCTACTCACTAACACAAGCAATATTCCAAATACGCACCTAAATAATCGTAATATTTTTCATAATAACATATTATAGTTGTAGCAATCGAGTATGGCGAATCGTCTGACTTATTTGATATTGATTAATTTTAATATTATTTTCCGTTGTATTTTAAACAGAAAAATCAAAAATTAGCAGTGACGGAAACGAGCTCTTTTGTATAAGACCGATTCATATTATACCTATTATTACATAAAAATATAATATCAACTGATCGCCCAACAGTTATTCATTTCACTTGATCACTGTTCGCGTGCACGTACAAACAAAAGACACAATATTTTCAAGAAGATACTAATGCATACACGCTACTGTTACGACAGCCACCGCCTGACTCTAATCCTGCATGTATCTACGAACAGCTGTCTGGTAAATATTATTTTCTATAGAAACGGATGTGCTTATAATCACTATATTACCTATATGACGATGGATACAAACATATATATATATATATATATTATCATCACAACTTAGCTCGTTCAGCGTCGTCTCCGGTGCGCAGCTAAGACTGTAACCATATATCCACCACGCCGGTTCAGCACTTCTATCAGTAAGTACATAAGTTTATATGGTGCTTATCACTACCAGACCACGAGACAAGAGCATCGCGAGTGCACGTTGCGGGTGCATATCACCTACGACTCCGCCTAGCAACCGTAATCCGCAATTAGCTTCCCCGTTATTGTTCGTCATCCTAGACACGAATCGCAACAGAGGCGACGGAGTAAAGCGTAACCGCACTCCACCTCTAACCACCGTCAAAAAAGGCTGTTTTTTTTTTCGTATGGCGCTAGGTCCGGGAGTAGGCAGAATTTCTATTGGGGCACCCGTAGGTTTCTGCCATGCCCCGGAGTGGTGGATGGCGGCACTTGTTCTCCAGACACCGTGACTTGTCCGGAGAAAAATGTCGCCCGATGGTCGAGGATCGAACCCGGTCCCCGGCTGAGTCACAGCTGACACGTTAGACCGCTAGGCCAAAAAGGCCGTGATGAACCTAATCTAAATAACCCAATCGACCACAACTGTTCAAGTGTGCCCACAGGGGGGGGGCAACAGGGCCATTGCCCCCCTGGGAAATTTTAACTGTATACTTTAATATCATGCATGGTATTCCATTTTACCATCAAAAATATAAAATAATATAGAAGTTAAAGTTCTTGAAGTTCAAGCTTAGAACTTAACGATTCCGACTCTTATAATATATGGCCTGAGATGGAAAACAAAAACGTATATATATAATATATATAGTACATATAAAACTTACTTATATACTAATTACACGTTGCCCCATCCTGGACTTCAAACATCTCGATTATGAACTTGAAAACATTAGAATCTCTGCAAAGCAAAACTCTCGGGAAAATCACTGTATACGTTGGCATGCCAATAATTATGCCATTCTTCTTCTGCAAATGTCCCGACTATAAATGAAGAGATCTCGCAATTAACAACAAACACAAATCTGACTATGAACCGGCTCATCACTACAACAACGCAAAAAGCAAAAGGGGTCAGAGCTTCACTCTACCCGGTGCTAAATCCAAGGTCTCAAATTCCACTGAGAACAAAAATCCAAACTTATACCATCTACATCAAACCGATCCTTCTATATGCATCGGTTGCCTGGGCACCTCAACTGAGCCAATCAAATTGGCGGAAGTTAGAGGTTGTCCAAAACACCGCATTACGAACCATTACAGGAGCATTCTACCTCACAACAAACGCTGAAATTAGACAGTCAGCTGGTGTACTGTCCATTTCAGAGACAATACGGTCGATAATGRGTACGTTTATACATAGGGCGTCTGTGTCCAAGTTTAGTCACATCCGGGCTTTGACACAGTAAACAGCGCTGAATGACAGACCGTCCATAACAGTGAGGATGAGTTCAATCTAGAGAGAAAAGGCAAAGCCTGGAGCTCTATATAGGCCTTAGGCCGTCCAACAAAGGCATAAGTCCAAGTAACAACAAACATCAAACTAGCTGTTATGAGCACCACGGTTTATGGACTGTGATGATGTGTTATATTTTATATTGTGTCTTCAGTTATATCCGAAAGACGACAATTTGTTGTTCCGTTCTCTGTAGTAGGTGGAAACCGAGTGATGTTTAGTATACACAATACACACTTAAAATCAATATAATAATAGATATAATTGATTAACTCTTYAAGTTATAATTATTTTTYCTGCGTAAACACACTRTACTTAACTCGAACGAGTCGGTCACTTGACTGAACAGTTGAAAAGRCAGATATACAGCCGCACTGTTGTGTATAAGCAAAAAAGAGATTAGACGCCTACATACCAACGTCTAGCTATTTACTATATTATAGTTAACATAAAGACTACCTTTATTCTAAGTCAGTGTAGTGTTAGGTATATAACAAAACGTCAAATTATATTAAACTCGTCGTTCGAACACATAAGAGCTATAWGCCAGAAAGAACATACTTCCCAGAGACATGTTTATAGACTAATTCATTTTAAAACTATAATATAAAAAAAAATCTAGCTTACATCAATTTTTAATTAATTTGGTCTGGTGTGAGCAAAAACTCAAAACAGAAAAATATTTACAAACATACAGTAACATTATAATATGTTAAAACAATATTAGTGTGATTGCCTTATTGAGTTATAGAGAGCAATATTTTTTGATATAATAATATAATTTAATACAATAATAAAATTTGAATTAAAGTAAGATGTTTTCAATTTAAATGCTAGCAAATATTAATAATACAATTKCTATGGTACAWKATATACATATATACGTATTTTGCAATAAATGAAACTGTTATTGCGTTTTAATTTTAAGTTATAAAAATAAAAATAAATACKTTTGGAGATAAATATGGTTTTCAGGATGATGAAGATGACGAAAGAGACTCTCAAAGAAATATGCAAACAAAATAAATTGTATATAATCCCTCGTCTCAATAATGAACTTTTTCTTCACTATGGAGGTATGCGAAAAATATGTTTACTGCGTACGCATAATAAACAAATGCACCTTACTAATTATTTGGACTGAGAGTTCTGCTCAGCTCTTTAAATAAGTCTAAAGATACGAATGATGTGACTACGTGTAGTAAATATACTTAATGTCTTAATTTAATTTCAAGGATTTTCAAAGATTGAAAACCTAGATGAATATACTGGCCTAAAAAGTCTGTGGTTACAAAACAATGTGTTGAAGAACATTTCTGGACTCGACCAACAAATAAACCTTGTCTGTTTGTTCTTGCACTACAACGCAATCTCAAAAATCGAAAATCTTGATTTCTTGGTAAAACTCAACACGATAAATTTGAGCCATAATTTCATCAAAGTTATTGAAAACTTAGGCAAGTAGTGCAGAAAGCAAGTTAAATTGAACACTAATGGGTATTATTATCATTGTTTTTTTTTTTWAAACTAAATTTCAGATCACTTGCAAGACCTGAATTTTTTGGTTTTAACTCACAACAAGCTTTCTACTGTGAGCGACATTGCTCATTTGGCCAGCTGTAAAACATTGTCTATACTTGATCTTTCATTTAACTACTTAGATGATCCAGAAATCATTGATGTGAGTTGATATCAAAGAAAAACCACTAAATACTAGTCATAACTAATAAATGAAAGTGCGCTGCATATAATATCGATTTTTTTTTTATGTTTCACAACTTTATAGGTTTTTGCCAACATGGAATCTTTGAACGTTTTGATTTTAACTGGAAATATTGTGATTTCGAAGATAGACAACTATCGGAAAACGTTAATTATAAAATGTGTAAGTTTTAAATTATGTTAGTACCTATAACTCTTCTATTTTGCTGTAGTACCTAGATGACACTAGATTACCTCATGGCACTTATAATATTGTAAATGTTTTTATCTTTTACGAATTCAACTGTATGTCTGGATAGTTTGATATTCGAGTAGAAAAATTACRAACGTTTTCATACTTTATTATGTTATTCGATAAAAACTCAATTGTATATTCTATTTTATCTTAGTAAGTCGAATATTTTGTTTATTTTTACAGAAAAAACTATGTAATCTGGATGACAGAACAGTTTCAAAAAAGGACCGTTTGTGTGCAGAGTCTTGGTGAGAATTAGCTATAGATTCCAGTTGATAACAACACTTATACCACAGGTACCCTCTTAGATACAATAGTGAAATATCTTTTTTTTTTATATCCAGGAGTACGGGTGGTGTCGAAGCGGAACAAGCCATGAGAACTAAATTAAACAAAATCGAAAGGGACGCACAATTGCGACGAATTAATCGTGTACCAATTATTCCATGGGTCCAATCGGATTCTTCAGACGACGAGACAGTGGAAGACAAAAGTATAATGAGTCAAAATTAGACTAGGTTTATTATACGACGACAGGCTATAAATGGTGATTTTGGCATCCATTTTAAGTCATTTACGTGTATAGTTTTTTATCAATAAATATTTTTATGGTCATCTYGTGATCAAGCCWTGATTAATTTTTTATTTATCGATCGGATTATTATGTAGATTTRATTGAATTAATTTTATACGTTCATTATTAATYCGATTTTCATTAAATTGAATTTTCAACGTAACGATAGTATAATATTATATCGTATAACATAATTATAAAGTGTTAATTAAAACAAGGTAGAAACTAATGACACCGCCAAAAAAAAGTAATTTTTACTCGAAACATGTTTTACAAGAAAAACTCTCACACAACGTAATCTGATTTGATTATTTTTTGTTTTTGTTAGAAAGAAAATAATTATCTACATGGTGCATTGAACTTTGATTTTTAATTTAGTTGCTTAAACAAACATAGTAAAAAAAACGAAAGTTTGTGAAAATTGYCCACATTCAAAACCTCRGTAGATWATTAAGAARTATAATTTTTWAAATCCAAGTCCAGCGCGCCATGTAAGAAATTAAAAAAAAAAAAAAAAAATGTATCGAAATCAGATCACTCTACAACGCGAAACATTCTTTAATGTTAAATATGTTATTGAGCAAACATTTGGTCACTTGTCACTTATCTTCAATAATATTTTTCACTGTACGTGAGTATGTAGTTATTGTAATATTTCTCTATTATTATGCAACAGAGCTAATACACATAATATGGCGTGATGATGACATTTTAATAACAAAGGTATACTCGTATACTCCACACAACTACGCACTGGCATACATAAAAAAAAAAAAAACAAAATATTTGGCTGAAATGCAGGTGTGTGTTGAATTTAAGGATGAGATCAAATCACATATTGTAAATAGGTACTTGTGTTGAATCCTCTCATAATTAAAATCCATGAACACATRCGACGATGAGACATTATAGTATGAAACCACCGGTGAACTACGTTCAGGCCAATATTTATTTTTTTTGTTTCCTCTTAGCCATATGCCTTTGTTCTCTCTGATGCGGGYGACGAGACGCTTAAATCGACGATTGAAATCGACCTTTGGTAGTATTATAGAGCCGAAACAGATATATTATAATCCTTACGCRYGCCATCCTCGTCACTTGGGACTCGCGGTAAGCATCGTAGTCGCACACAAAATAATAATATATAATAATGTGTGTGTGTGTGTAACTGTGTATGGGTGTGTGCTCGTGCGGTATTCATATTGTATGTAATAATTTCAAGTTAAAGGAGGGCTTTATTTTATTTAGAGCCGGCTATACTGTCGATGCAGCGATATTCTCGCGACTCGTATAATACATATACATATAGGTGTAGGTATGTGTGTATTCATGTGTACCCACATGTATCGTATACGTATTTTATCACATACTTAAAGACCTACACATTTATAGGTAGTTTGTCTCGGTGTACAGTTGCAGCTAAAATAGTTATAAACTACTATTATACAGGCACTATTTTTTTTTCTCCTGGATTTTGTTATCGCTTATAATATGTTAACGGGCCTGCACATGACCTATTTTTTTTTCTCAAAACCATGCTTAACACGAAAAAATCTCACACCCTGTACAGTGATCCGATTTCGATATATTTTCTCTTGTTTTTTCGTTAGAAACAGAAATTTTACTTATAAAATATTCAATATTGTAATCATAATCATTAATAGATTTATGAAAGATGCACATAGTGTTAACGTTGCAGTCTCGCAAAACGTTATCAATTTATCATTATCGAATTCGATTTCCATTTTATTATTATTATTATTACTTATTATGTCTTATACGGTCTTTTAGTAAACCATATTACGTRTATAATTTTTTATCAACAAATATTAATGTGGTCATCATGTTATCAAGCCATTTTTAAATAATTTTTATTCAACGACCTGATTATTATGTACATTTGATTGGATTAATGTTGTATCTATTTTCAGCTATTGTCACAATATGCAACACCAACAAAAGTTTTAAAATGTATCTACTGACAAAATAACAATTTACACGTTTTTAAATTTAATCCAATATTTCTTAACCCTCAAAATGTGATCAAGTGTCTATATAATAATACCATAACATCCATAATATTTATATTTATTTATTGCGAAATCACAATAATATACTATTGTTTTAAAAGCATATGGCACATTTATACGTTTATACACTGACACTGTACACACTTCAGAAAATATTTAATTTATAACTAAATATTTAAAAATAATTAATATTTGTAAGTTGTGGATATTACAATGTTTTGGGCTTGCTCGGTAATAATATTATAGGTAATAATTGTTTAATATTTTTAAACACTATAACGAGTTTTTTTTTTAAATATTCTAAAAATATCATGCCGATACATATATACATTATAACCTGTAACGCATCATATTACTAATCGAAATGTCTTTAACGAAGTCTGTGGTATAAGTAGGTATTATTACTTTGGAATAGACACTTATTCAAAATTAAGCGCAAACGCGATTTCGGTCTTTATTGTTTTAACGGGTGCGGCAAACAATAGCATTTCACAGGTCAATAATGTTGTGAAGAGTTAGGGACTGCTAACACTTGTCGCCAAATGGACATTGTCCACCCGCTGGCGATTGACACCCTCGTAAGCAAAATATTTCATTCGCGAAACAACAAAATATATTTATAGGTATGTTAAGCGGACGCGTGCGCGGCGATGTACATTAAATTATTTAAATTATTTGTACCTCACAGGGACTGGCGTGAGTTCATTTCGTCATTTCGAGCGAATTATATGATTTTTCGGCAGCCATCGCACAGTACACGACAATAATATGTCTATGTTTAACACGATTTCACGAACACATTCGACTGCAGCAGATTATAATAATATGCACATTGCACGCGTATAACAGTCGTCTGCGTATGTGCGTGAATATCACAATGCACCATTCAATGCAACTAGATAGAACAATGTTATTATTATAAACGAATTTGGATTTTAATTAAAATATTTGAAATACTATTACCATACTTGATATTGTACCATATAACTGTTAGGTAGGTGTGTAGGTATCGTCGTGGTAGTTTTCAAACCCTGCAGAAACGGTGCAGTGGTGTGCACCTATATACTTTATCGTTTTATTAAATTATTTATATTATTGCTATGTGAACTCACGGGTATGTGTGGTGGAAGCAGTAGCAGCTATTGTAATATTATTATTATTATTATTATACAGGTGACCGGACATAAACAGGAAGATTCAAGACCGGCAACAACGTTCGCATCTCGAGATTTTTTTTTAAGCATTTAATGTTACGGTTTTTAATGGTACAATATTATTAACAGCTTGRGGGAATTCGAAACGYACCGTTTGTAAGGATATTCCTGTATYGAGAAAAAATATTTTCGTACTATTATATTTCATTATATTATRTGTGTATATTATGATTTTCATCGCATCAAACCGATCGATCAGATCATGGGATTTTGATATTGAAAACGGATTTGAACGACTTCATATTAAATTTACTTGTTGACCCTACGAGCAACGATTTCTTTAATTTATTTTTCTGAAAAATCGTAGTTGACCATTGAAGTATTCTTACTAATACCTATTTATAAAGTTTTAATTTTGATAATTGTATGGTCTAAAAATCGAAATACGTGTTATAATAATTAACTTTAATTTATATTATCTGTATGTAACTAAATCTCACCATTTTATATATTATAGACCATTTAGCATTTGTTAACAAGTGGTTCTACAGTCTCGTAAATACGTWTAAATTGAAGGGGACCACTTTGTTACTTGTTCCTAAAAAAAAAAATTTACCGGTAAAAAAATTTGATACATTTTTACTTGGCTATTACATTTTTAGTGTTTTTTTTTCTGCAAGTTATAGATACACTCAAAAAAATAATTTGCGTGAATGTATACATTTTTAGGTTAAATTGTGGATGATCATATATCATATGCTTTGTGCCTTTGTCAAATATCCAGTATGTTTTATTATAAATGTAGGTACTGCACCGTCGCGGTCGTCCTACTTTTCTATAATATATTGTATAATATTATACAGAGTGATACACCAAGCGTGATCACCTCTTAAAATCTGATTTTCGGAATGTTTAAATATACTTAAAGACCAAATTTTTCTATTCTTGAAATTTTTTGTACTACGCTTAAGGAGAGTGTTGTGGATAAAGAAAAATATATTTTCGAACGAGAATCCTCCTTTTCAACCGTAAATTATTCAGTGTTGAATTAAAATTCGTATGAGTAGTTTTTGAGTATTATTTTAATTGTGTGTTYTAACTTTYTAAGGATAAAGGGCTTATAAGATATGGRGACTATGGCTATTTGAAAATTGTAATCATTAATATTAATCTATAAACATTAATAATTCGTAAAAAATGACCAAAGTATAAAAATACTATGTACCTATACTATATATTTTTGTAAAACCATTTTTAAGGACTATTATCCTTAGAGCAAACATTTTAATAAYTAAGATTCTACTCATTTAAATTTTGAACTAGGTAAAAYAAAATTATCCACTGAATAAATGTATGATAAAAAAGGAGGATTATCATTTAAAGAACAGAAATTCGTATCRCCACAGGACACTCTTTATGTACAGTGCACAAAAAAATCCAAGAATTTGAAAACATTGTCTTTGAATATACTTAAAAATTTCAAAAATAAGAATTCGAATAAGTTCATTATTAAATGAAAAAATGGGTGTAAGCATGGTCGTTGAATTACTCTGTATACGATATTATGCTTGTGGAATATAATACGATTATAAATTTAATGTTATTTCTGTGCGATTCTATTGTATACCTACGCTTCGGAAGGGAATTGTCGGCGATGAAACGCACACGCTAACCACTGCGYTGCAGCACACATAAAATGCGAATGGCGTGAGTTTTAATCTGTAATACGCACACCAATTTATTATACCTAATAAT